CCATTAGGCTCTTTCCTGTGCAGCTGTGTCAAGTCTACGTTCTATGCCAACAAGCCAACGACGGTGGTAAACTTCGTACGAATATCGTATGTGAAATTGCAGCAGTATCGACCGATTTATGCCTGAAACCGTCGAAAAATGGGTTCAGCGTCTGGACTTTTACAAGCGTGCCCGTGGTGGCCATTCATCGAATGTTCTTTCACAGGAATAAAGAATTCCATTGTACCGTTGTTGTACCGTTCTTATTGAAAAACCAGTTATAAAACTATTTTGTTCTGCATAATAACTATGTACTTTATATAATATACATTTACACATAATTGTTGTTTTTTTTTTCTTAGATTGTACCGGCTTCACTTTGCGTCCGGTAGCTGGTCTACTCTCTTCACGCGATTTCATTGCCGGTCTGGCTTTTCGTGTCTTCCACTCTACACAGTATATACGCCATCCCAGCAAACCCATGTATACACCGGAACCCGATGTTTGTCACGAGCTAATGGGCCACGTACCGTTATTCGCTGATCCGGCTTTTGCACAATTCAGTCAGGAAATCGGTTTAGCTTCCTTGGGTGCACCCGATGATTACATCGAGAAGCTGGCGACTGTAAGTGTATATATATTTTATAATTTAATAGTTAATTATTTGAAATCATATGCTTTATTTATAATATTTTGTTTACATTTCATAGATCTTCTGGTTCACCGTTGAGTACGGTCTGTGTCGCCAAGATGGTGATCTTAAAGCTTACGGCGCAGGTCTGCTCTCTTCTTACGGTGAACTTGAGTATTGCCTAACCGATAAGCCACAACTACGTGACTTTGATCCATCGGTCACCGGCATTACCAAATATCCAATTACACAATTCCAAGAGGTTTACTATGTGTCGGAGAGTTTCGAGAGCGCCAAAGAGAAGACAATGTAAGTTGTGGCTTATTGTAGACTTTGTTTTTAACATTTGCTTTATCTTCATATATTTGTCGGTATTATTTAGCATATTCGCCAACTCCATACCACGTCCCTTCGGTGTACGCTATAATGCCTATACGCAGAGCATCGAAGTGCTCGACTCAAAGAAGCAGATACGCAATTTGATGGACGATATCAACTCAGAGTTTCAGATTCTACAAAACGCCGTGGAGAAGTTGAAGGTGTAGAAAGCAACGGAAAGTTTTCTATGAAAATTATATGTACATATAGTTGTACATATGCATTTATTAGCCATATACTTATTAATAGATTATATATATATATATATCCTTTGTAAATACTTACCGCTACGAAATATACTTGAAAAAAAAGAGATTAAAAATATAAATTTGTTTGATTTTTTGCATTTGATTTTTATTATTTTTTTCATAATCCACTCACTTCGTTTAGTAGCTTATCAGTATTATATTTATAAAAATTGGCTATAAGCTATATTTTTTTATACATTATAGTAGTATTAGTTATACTTTTTATTATTTATAAATTATGTTTAATATATTTATAGACATTTATATACAAACACTACATATAGTATACTAATTACAAAATTACTTATTGATTTCAAAAGTTATTTACATACTCATGGTTGCTATTCCTCTCTACTTATATACATATGTACATATAAATTTAGGTAGATAACAGTTTTTATTTTACAAAGGACATATTAAGAATGAATTTTAGGGTAATTAATTTTATAAAGCTAGTTTTCGATGATAAAGTTATAAAATTAATTATATTATTATAATTAACAATTATAATTAAATATTTTCTAAGAAGTAGAAGGGTTAAGGTAGAGAAATGTTTGAAATTTTATTAGACCACGCACGGTTACCATGTGTTGAATGTTGCCTATGTAGCGCTCACTCGAAAATACAAAGAGTTCAATGACGGCTTAAGTGAGTCCGCTTGGCGAATTCCTCATTCTATAGGAAGAAATAGTTCTGGAGTGCCTCTATTTCAAAAACGAGCGAAACTTTTTTCTCAAAACTTTTGCATAGGATCAGGAACGATAATTGCCTTGAAATTTTTACAGTTTTTTTTGAACGAACTTTTCTAGATAAAATGTAGATTATTATTTTATAAGCATATAAAAATTAAAAAAATTATATTTCTGGCTATCATAAATTATATGTCTGTCTCGAAATTTGTGTTCATTAGATTTAGTAAGTTTTGTGTTGACTTGAGACTTTTCTTGATAAAATTAAAGAATTTTTCAGATTTTGTTCAAGAGTGACGAAGATTTTTCAGTACGCTGGCGCTTATGCAAAGGTTGTCTTTTATACAGGGTTTTCCAATAAGAGTGATACGATTTCTTTAAAGAAACCACTAAAAAATTGTTAAAGGAATTCAAATGTTTTTGATTTAATGTCAAGTGCCTTCGATACAAATCAGTCTTGAATATAACAGCATTCAAATGGCCTCAACGATGTCTTTTGCGGGAAGGAATTCATTGAATCCAATTTTTGGGTATCAAATCAAATCGTATGTCATGAATAAGACGTTCAATATTGACTTCAAAGGCTTGAAAGCAGTCTGGTTTATCGAGCAAACAGAGAAAATTATCTCAAATAAATCCGCAAGCAATAGTCGAATGGTGTTGAATTACAACTTCTTGGAGGGCATTCAGTGTCACAATTTCTTGAAATAATCGAATCTCCAAACTTTACTCGCAATAATTCGGTTGTTGCACGTGCTTTGTGGCAGGTAGCCCCGTCTTGTTGAAACCAGATTTTGACAAAATCAACTTCCAAAATTGGTTACCATCCATCATCAGTAACGGTATTACAAGTTATATTTCGAAAGAAGCACGGACCGATGATACCACCAGATCAAAAACCACAACAAACTGTCAATTTAGGCGAATAAAACGGTTGTTCATGAATAATTTGTGGAATTCTTTCGCACCAGAATCAACAGTTCTATTTATTTACCACACCACTCAGATGAAAGTATGTAAGCCTTATCGGAATGATGATTTTCTTACAAAAAAAAAAAAAACGTTATGGTTTTCAATTTGTTTCAAGGTAAAATCAGCAAATTCAAGACGTATGTGGTGATCTAATGGCTTCAGTTGTTGGGTGAAAACAATTTTATATGGATGCAAGCAATCAGACTGGCAAAAGTGTTTAAAAAATTGGTTGAAACGTATGCAAAGTGTTAATGGAGAATATTTTGAAAAACAATAAAGCGATTTTCGATGATTAATATTTGTTTTGTTCTCTAATCTCCATATATAAACGGCAATCCTCGCAATCAACTGCCAGCACAGCTATGGTGGCTTGCATTTCAAAAATTTTGTAGTGAATCTGACAAACTATAACGTTATATAGTCACTAGTTTTCATTAATTTTGTATAATTAAAATAATTTTATTTATTTATATACGATATATAACGCTTTAGTTCGCACTTTGGCGCCATTATTATGAGACCTTCCAAGCCAATAGTAATTTTGAAGAGTTGTATAAAATAAAAAACAAAAATCATGTACTTACAGTACAGTTACTTTTCAAAAAATAAAAATTAAAAATTTTCAAATTTTTAAAATACAGTTTGTGTTATAGTCAAAAATTTACACATTTGCTAACTTTGTTTTCATTTTACATATAATTATCTCAGTTGGATTAATTTTAAATTATTTAAAAAATGTTTTTTTGCTTTTTTGCTATAAGGTGGAATGTTTGCTTGTTAGAAACTACAAGTTATAACCTTAAATTTAGCTCTTACTTAAAGTTTATTACAATCTAATTCTAAGCTTACTTTTGTTAGACGATTAAGCAACAACTGTTTTAAAACCTGAGTATAACAAATAATCTAAATCAAATTATTTACAGTTTTCAAACAGGTATGTATAGAAAATATTTGAACTCGACCAATTTACTATATTTTACTATATTACTCTATAAAAACAAAATAAGTAAACAGAAACAAACATGAAACATTAAATTTCCCTTAAATTATATCACAAGAGAATTTAAGTTCGAAAATATTATTTTTACTATTACTAACACTTTTGAAATATTTTCCTAACAATTTTTTTTAACAAAGTAAAAGATAATTTTATGCATACATAAGGATACAAAGCAATTTTTTTCATTTGTATGTAGAAATAAAGATATTAGCAGAAAATTAGACAAAGACAAGTAAGAAAAACATCAAAATCTTAGCGAAAAGTTAACAAAATGAAAAATTAAAAAAAAAGAAAAAACTACCAAAAAATCAGCAAAAAGATTACGAGTGAAGAACGATAATTTATAGCCGCCATTTAATTGAAATAAACTTTTTAAAAACACTAGTTCTTACATAAAAACAATTTATTCTTATAATACCAAGTTTAGATTAAACTTTTGGTAAACATATCACGCACGAAAATATTTCATTGCACAAAAATCAATATTAAATTAAGGAAATTTTTATCCAATTAATTCTTAAACATATACTCACATAACTTTTACTATAATTAATTCTATCGGAGTGATTCGTATTCACATTCAAATTTAAAAAGCTTTAGCCATTTAGCCTCTACGCACCCTGCAGTGCAGCTCCACAAGGAGCTAAGTGTGGTTACAGTTGAAGATTATTGTATTCTTAGTATGGATAACAACCGACTATTTAATGCCTGAACGGAAGTCAGAGATGTCGGCGACTCTTGGTTTCAATAAGACGGCGCCACTGCCCACAAATCGCTCTAATTTATTGAGAGAATACATTGGGGAGCAGATAATTTCACTTTTTGAACCGGTCGATTGGCCAGCAAGATTGTGTGCTATCACACTGTTAGACTTTTATGTGGGAATATGTAAAACCTAAAGTCTATGCAAGCAAGTCAAAACATCACACATATCATTCTCCAATTACCAGTCGAATTGCTTAAACGAGTCATCGAAAATTGGACTCAACGGAGCCGCAGCCAATAATTGAAAGAGATAATTTTCAAAAGTTTCCAAAGAATGTTCTTTTGAATCTTAATAAACATTCACAATTCAATTTGAAGTTTCTTTGTTTAATTTTTAAGTAAGGAATCTCGAAACGGACCACCCTTCATAAGGTTAGGGAGAAATAAATAGATATAATTAACATATAAACTGACATATCTGGCAAAAAATTTACCAGAAGTGGAGAAATCATTATATTGGGTATAAAAGACCCAATTCACCGGGTTCGCAGAAATTATGGCAACTAGATGCTTCAAACTTAGTCTGGAAATAGCTGGATAGCAAAGGAGAAAGTGTTTAGATATTGAACCTCACCTTCCCCCAATCCAACTTTGTCGGTTTTTGCTGCGTCCCTTCAGTTCTTTAGCTTCAACGCCTGAGTGCCAATGAGACAGTCTTTAATTAGGACACCAATGAATCGTTTTCGTTCTGTTCTGAGCCAGAAGACTTTTGCAGCCTTACAAGTGCTGATTGTTGGCCAACACATTTACTAAGCTCATGTGAGGACCATTCATCAAGCGCCCGAATGCACTAAAACTGGTCTATACCTGCTCATCGGCGTTGCCATGATAAGTAAAGTCATACCTTAATCGAGACATTTAAGTTAAAAAGTCAACGAGAATAACGAAAGTTAGTAGAATCTTGAGGGATAGATGACCAAAGTGTAGGTCAATTTCGACCATACGTATTACGAGCTATAACAGAAGGCCGTAAAGCAAATCAGAAGGAAGGTTTCTCTAACGATGCTGTTCTTTAGTTTTCATTGGGGACCTCTTTTATGGGGTGGGTACCAAACCCAGGGGAGACACTACGACTAAATTTTGGCTACGACTAAAATTTGGTACAAATCGGTTAACTTTTTTATAAGACAGGAAATTTTGTCTATTAGTATGGGGAGCTAAACCCATTTTACCTGTGGCTTAAATATTCAAAGGTTAGAATCAAAATGCAATCAGACGCTACGGCAATAAATAAACGGATTAAGATGGATTCATATATAAATATATCAGTGAATTTTCCTGCAGGGTTTGTACTTACGCACTACGCCTGCCAAAATACACGCTACGCGCACACGACCACACACACACAGAAGAGACAAACTAAAACTAATTATAAGCTTACAACTAAACTAATTCGAATTGCGGCTTAAGGCTATTGACTATTTCTCGAGGATTGCGGTGAGTTGAAGAGGTTCTGCGACTGCTCCTGCGACATCTGATAGGGCAGTATTTCCAGATCGTTAGGTAATTGATTTGTGGTCGCTTGATTGCCGAGCGCTTCGAATGGATTGTTCGGAAAGAAATTATTGGTGCGTTGTTGTTGTTGTTGCTGCTGCTGTTGTTGTTGTTGCTGTTGATGAGTTAACACTTGATGCTGTTGCTGTTGTTGCATAACTTGATTCTCGCCAATTAGTTTGGCATCGATACGATCGCTCTGCGATTCGGAACCATCATCGCTAATGCCCATCGGGAAGTTGAGTGTCGAACTCGATTCGGTGGCCATTTGCATGTAGGTGAGCAGCGAGTCCTCATTTGTCGTTTGCGGTGCGCTGGTGTTGTTGATGAAGCTCTGATTCATGCCGCCCTGTTGCTGCTGCCCGTTACTGGAGCTCACCGCGTTGTTGTTGCTGCGCGAATTATGACTCGGCTGCGTGTTGCCGATCGTTTGCAGTGGCGAGAGATTGAAGAACGCGTCGATGTCTTCGTGGCCGAATTGCGCCAGATCAGATACACTGCGCGAGAGCAGATTCAGTTGTTGCTGCTGTTGCGCTTGCTCCTGCGACTGCTGCTGCTGCTGTTGTTGTTGTTGTGGCTGCGGTTGTAGCGCCTGCAAATGTTGTTGCAGTTGCGGCTGACTTTGTTGCGACTGCTGGTGATGATGGGGCTGCTGATGGTGATTGCTTTGTTGCGTCGTTTGTTGTTGTTGTTGTTGGTGATTGTGGTTATGCATTTGTTGTTGTTGTGTTTGCATATGCTGCGTCTGCTGTTGCTGCATACTATGTTGCTGTTGCGTCTGCGCGTGTTGTTGCTGATGTTGTTGTTGTTGTTGCTGCAACATCATCTGCTGCGTCGTCTGATCCATTAGTTGCTCGCTGGAGTTCATAGTGAAGCCAAATTGCGTGAATTGCTGCTCCATCGTCGTATTGGCGCTGGCGAAATTATAATTGCTGCGACCGCTATTCGGCGGCGTATTGTAATTCATCGGCATCATCGGCTGCAGTAGTGTGTAGCGCGCCAACAGTAGCTGCTCGGAGACCATGCGCAATTCATCCTGCTGTTGCATGATCAGTTTTTGCAATTCGTCGTGCTTGCGTTGCAGCTGGTCCTGCAGCTGGGTCTGGGTGGGCGTCATCACCACCGCACCGGAGAGCATGTCGGCTTGGCTCTGCAGCGGATCGAAGGTGCCGTTGGTCGGTTGCGCGGCCGCCTTCCAAGGTGGCGCCGTACTCATATTCACCGGCAGCGGCGACAGCACCGGCGCGACCGGAAATTGCGCGATCACCGGCTGTACCGGTATGGCGGCAAGATATTGCGATGGCTCCAGGAATGTGGGACCGACTATTTGCGAGCTGCGTATCGGGAAGGTGGGCTGTGTGAATTGACATGGGTTGTTGGGCACCATTTGCGCCTGCGCCATGGTGTGTTGTGGTAGCATCGGTAGTATTTTTTGTTGGTTCTGCGTTTGATTCATCTGCAGCGATGTGTTCTGTTGCGACTGGTGGTGATTGTGCAGTGCATGTTGGTTGGCCGCATTCAGTTGTTGCGCGTGCGTTGTACTTTGCGGCATTTGCATATTCGAGCTGTGACCGTGACGTTGTCGACTCTGCGTTAAGAGTAAATTGGTTATTTTCAAAGATTCCAAAAAGGGTATATCAGTTAGTATGAAAAAAAGATGGTAAGGGGTTGTCAACTGTGCGAAACTTCAACTAAATAATAATAAGATCAAAAAATATCATGCAAATGTTTACCACAACAGGACGTTGTGTTCAATATTACCGATTCTTGTGCAGTGCACAAGTCTTGAACACAGACAAGTAGAAATTCAAAGCATATTGACCCGGCGAACCTATATTATCGATTTCTTTAAAAATCTAACTTTACCAAGTTCCTTTCCTGGATCTCTAGATAACCAAAAGCGACTAGCGAGGCAAAGCAGACGCCGAAATTGGTTTTGAAATGTGTCCAAACAAATTGATTTATGAGTTTGGTTAGGTTATCCACTTCATACATCGACCTTTGTAATTTCAGTTAATGTTTAATTTATTGTGCACTGAAGTTTACATCGTGCAGGACGTCGATGCTTTTTCCGAAGTTCAATAAAAATTTAATATCTAATTCAGATACTTCATGCAGTCCCTACTACAGTGAAACCCTTAGCTATCTAAGCCGAGTTCTCGTTAGGGTCGGACTGAAGCAGAGGCGGTTTTTCAGCGCCTCATGCCTTCTACCCAGCTCTCGTTGGTAAATATGCCAATGTGGCTCTCATGTGATGCCAGTTAGTTGTACCTTTTGAGTAGATCAACAACCGTCCTGCAGTCTTTTCGAGACCTGGACCGAGTCGGTAAAAAGGATGCATGTTTTCCATCGGAATCTTGAACATGATCTTGGTGAGTCTTCATGTGCCTTAGGCATTCCATATCAACCTGATCTGTCTGTAAACTCTTTCGTAAATTTCATTTTTTATTGTTTTTGGGGACTTGAGTACTTCCTGAACCCTTTCGTCAGCCAGGCGGATGGTCCGTTTGGGAATATTATCGGCTTTTTCGTTTCTCGGAAAGTTTTTGTACCCTGGAGCGCAGTATATACATATAACCGCTTTCCGGTGGTCACTATATCTAATGCCTCCCAGTTTCTAAAGAAATTTTCTGACTCGCTGCTATTGACTATTACAGAAACTTCTCTGCAGAGGTTTCTGCCTGGAAAATACTTCAGTATTCCGGCAGCTTGAAGGGTCAACTGAAATCTCTCTTTTAATTTTACTCTAAACCTTTTATCCCAGCTAAAGTCTTGGCCACGCTCTTTTAGTTTGACTTGAAACCCTCTCTTCCAGATAAAGCCTGATATTTATTACAACCCCCTGCTTATTGTGCTCAACCCGATTACGATGCGCATACTTCTTTTGGAACTAAAGTTACCATTCCTTACTTCGGGTGTACTAAAAAATAAACCCTCTTCTTCAATTTACACCCTCACTATAAAAGAATGTCTTACTATTTAAATTTAACGTGATTAACTTTTTCCGTACGCTCGAAATAGAGTTATAAAAGTCTAGGTATATTATAGAGAGGTAAAATCAAATAACCTAACTTCGAATGTTATGATTAGGACTCACCGAACTCAAATGTGTCATAAGAGAATGTTTACTAGTCGCCGAATCCGCAGACATGGACGTGGAATCCGATTCGTTGCCAGGTCTATGTGGGAAATAACGTTTTCGCTTAGCTGTCGGTGAGATTCCAGTAGAACTAATATTGCCATAACTCGAGGCGGGTCGGGATGTCTTGTATGTTGTCGATGCTATGCCAGTAGTTGACGAGGCATTCGGCCATATTGGTGATGTGTCCAGCCGCGGCGAAGCTTCATTTAATATACCCATTATAACATTGCCACTATCGCTCGCCGAAAGCGTGGATGGATCTAGACTTTGATTGGTGGTTTCAAGGTCCCTCAATGTCATTGTGGACGACTTGCTAGTGCTATTGTTGATCGAAGGAGTTTTCTCCAACTTATTGCCCGCCTTACTTTGGCGTATCACATCTGCATAACTGACTACCTTGTGTGTACACACTACGTAGTCAGGTTTCGAGCTGAATTGGTGGTAGGACACATAGAACTCGGTCTGCAGCCAGATCCATTGTTGTCCTTTGGTAAGGAAACGATAATAGCACGACTTGCATTCGCCTTTCTGCATCACTGTGGGAAGATTTGTTAAAATTTTCTATCGAAAATGCAAATATAGTTGTAACTAATACTTACACTCTTCATGGCAAGCCACTATACTCTCCAAATCATCGAAATGGTAGTAATCATAACCGGAGGTACCGAGCACTTCAAAAGGCATATAGCCGATGATCGGCGGCGCACGATGATCCAGAAAGAGAAATTTCCATTCCATGCTATGTTTCGAAGTGAACTCGTTACACGTCGGATCTATGGCGGACATCTCGCGTATCAGCTGCGGCGTCTGAATGCGCCCGGTGCCGACGAAAATCAATTTCTTATCCACCTCCGCGCTAGGATTCATTTGGAAGATACGTGGCAAGGCAAGTGTGTTCTGCGATTGTATGCTGTCTAGATTCACATTGTTTCCTGTTTTGAGTGTCGTTTTTTTTTTTTTTTTGAGTTTAGACAATTACATTTGGTACAGTGAAGGTATAAGTGTTCTACTTACGAAAATAACCTACAAATTTAACTAACTCGTACGCATTGGCATCCACTTTGTCGATACCGCCACGCCGTAAATGCAAATAGAATGTAATTTGATTACTTGAGTTGATATCAGTCTGTAGTGGCTCGATCACTGGTTTGGGATTTAGAAATATATTCAGTAGACTTTCATGATCCATTTCGTAGGTCAAATCGAAAATGGTCATATTCACAAGGTCACTCTAAGTGTTGAATAATAGAAACGATTAGTTGGTATCGAAAGTTACATTTATGGTAATGTCTACTCACTGGTAGGTAACCGAGCAGTGGAGTAATACTTTCAGATGCATAACATATGGAACCAATACCGCTAAACACTATAATGAAGCCATCCAAAGATTCCAGCATGAGATGTGTAAACTCGTCGTTAGTAAGGAATGTTGGTTTCCAGTCTTGCTGTATTTCGAAAACTTTCGAACGATCGGTGGCCTCTGCAATATATGTAAATATCCAATTAGAAATAAATTATTGTATCAAATATTGTTAAACTTGCTTGGCAGTTTTTTAGGCAAAAATTAAGGATTAACATTAGATCTAAAGGTTTCTACCTTGAACTTTTAATAAAAACAAACTTAAAACTCTCTTAGTTTCACAATTTTTTATCTGGCTTTTGGTTATGTTATCTTAATTTTAAGAACTGCTTTTTTAATTTTTTGGAGATTAACACAATACTTAAGACGATATTAGTTATCTAACGTTCAAAATCAATAGTCTTTCCAAAACAAATTGACCAGCGAATTTTATTGGCTTATTTAACAATATATTATGGCGAAGCCTTAATTTAAAACTATGATTTAATTTAGAATGATGTTAATAATATATAATATCATTCCAACCGCTTACCGTTGTGATGTTTCAAAAATGCTATTGTCGACTTGAGCACTGTCGATTTATCCATTTTCCGGTTTGATGTCGATATGAGCGCGCTCAAATCATTCACCAGCGTATTGAATTGATCTCTCCTCTTCTTTTCACTGAGATTTCGAGATTTTCTGAAAGCAAAGTAAAAAAGTTAGTCTTCAGTTAACATCGGGATAAAATATTTCACATATTCGAGAATATAATATTAACCTAAAATAATATTAACCTAAAATTTAAATAAATTATATTGATGGGATTTATCTTATAGCAACTTTTCCACTTGTTGATACGTGCAATAAGCTAATGTATATTCGAAATTTGTTTCTCTATTTGGTACTAATACGATGTAAATCATCTTAGAATATTATGTTCAATCTTTTTGTTATAAAATTGATGAAGTTAAGAGTATTTTCTTACCTGTCTTAGAAATGTTTTTTAACAGATGTCAAAATTTTAAAGTATATTTCCTACAACTCCCTTTAAAAATTTGCTTTTCCTTTTAATATTAATATCTCAACATTTTTTTCTCAGAACAAATACTGCACTTGGCGTATATTTTATTATTTCTTGGTAAAAATTTTACATAAGATTGTCATTGGTTTTAAAGAAAGTATTTTGAACATGTAGTCACAAAAAATTTACAACAAATGCTTGTCTTTTTTATGAATGAAGCCTCCTTCTCTGTTATTGCAGTTTTAGTTACAATTCTCTCATTCTAATAGTTGTAAAGCCAACTTTCATACCTTCAACCTTCTATAACTGGTATCGATTGACAACTGAAATTCCTTTTTTTTTATTTCATTGCCATTGTAACTAGTTAACATAGAATAAACTAGCGAACAATTTGTTTTGCTAATTGTAAATGTAGTACAAAATATTTAATAGTAAATGGTGCAGACCGTCCGGCTAATGTATAAGGTGTTATGGTTTTCCGCTAAAGTCTTCCTTTCCATTTACTTTGAGCAACAAAAGCCCTTTCTGCAGTGTTCACATATTTGTTGCTTTATGCGGAGTCAGTTCCGAGATCGCGTTCAAGATTGTGACTGCCAACATACCAATTCGCATTGACGGCGCATGTTAAAATTTTGTTTTGAAATCGCTGGATTTGTATAATAGTGCTAGGGATTGAGCAGCCTCAAAGTTGTATCCCATTAGTCCAAACTGTTCTGTACACCTGCCCTTAAACAAGAATTTTGTTTTATGTGAATAGAGCAGAGTTTCTGCCCAATAACCAATACATGTTTCTGAATTTAAGAGATCCCGGTGGTCTAGAATTTTCAAAAAAAAATCGATTTTTTTTTTTTGAAAATTCGAAAGTATAGTCCTTTAAGAATATACTGTATACCTTTTTTAATGATATACATCTTATTTTACTTTCTACGACCGTCTTAGCGTAGACAGACGTTCAGGTAGCGCAGATATCTAAAATATAGACACTCTAAACTTTAAACTCATTTATCTCAAAACTACTTTTTTCGGCGTGCCGTTGATGAAAAAAAAAAAAAAACTATCCATCCGAATCACTTGAAATTTTAATATGATGTTTATAAGATCAGGTCTATAACAGGTCCAAAAATATAATCTGAACTTCAAAAGCGCGAAATTTTTTTTATTAAATTTTTTTTTTTGTAGTCCCAGCGATCCTGCACTCCTACTGATTAATTATTTATTTGGTTTTATGTTTCAGATGTTCAGAAGAGTCAAAATCAACACCGGCATCGGCAGACATCTTTTAAGATAAGTTAAATAACATTTTTTTTATTTAGCAAAAAAATATGTTTGTTCTTTTCGTAAGTGTATAAATAAATTGCAAACATTTTAAATTGATTGTTCTTTTTTTTTAACCTTCAAAAAAAAAAAAAAAAAAAAAAATCCAGAAAACACCCTTAATTTGAGGGTTCTATACCACCGGGACTCTTAATTTTTATTTTTGTCATATGGAGTACATCTATGTTTTGTGGCCAAGGTCATGCCTAGATATTTCTAGTATTTGCTCACCCTTTAAGTACAGAGATATGTAAGTATATCTAATATTGTTGTATGTGAAACAAAAGTGTACTGATTTAGTTTCATATAATTTTATTCGCCATTTAGCTGTCCTTTCAAATATTTTTAAACGTTCTTGCAATCTTGCTATTGATGCAGTTTGTTTTTGCCGATAGATAATACTGGTGGTAGATCGCATGTAACGAGTAGGTAAATGATGACCCCTAACATATCTCCAGTTTTTATTTCCTTTAAATCAGAGTCCATATATCCAGGTTTAGTTCGAAAAAATAGTCCGAAAGATATGATTTTAAAATAAAATTTTAATTTTGTTTAGGCGTCCGCCATGGCAAACTTTGCCAAATGCATTTTCAATGACTCGGGTTATCGGGTCCAAATTCTAACAAATAACGGATGTTCCAAGCAGATGAACTTTTTTCAATAGCCTTTTTTGACAGATCTTGCCTGGGTCGTGTCAAGTTGTCAGGCTATATTTGTTTAGTACTGAAGCCGCTTGACCTCTCCAAGCGCCATCACTTCGCTTTATGGGCTCTTGAAAAGTTGCAAGAATATCAGACATTTTAGAGCCACAGTTTGTTCAGCGATGAGACACATTTTTGCTCATTGGGTATCTAAGCAAGCAAGATTCACACATATGGGATAAAGAGCGATCCAAGGACATTTAAGAGCTGCCATTTCAAACAGATAAAGCAAAGGTTTCGAGCAGCCGGTGTAATCATCGGTCCATATTTCTTCAAAAATAATGCTGGTGAGAACGTAGCCGTCAATGGCGACCGTTATCGCGCCATAATAACCGACTATTTGATGCCTAAAATTGTAACGCATTTCGGCGACAGTTGATTTCACTAACACGACACTATTTCCCACACATAGCATCAATCAATATATTTATTTAGGGAACACTTCGGTGATAATTTCACGTTTTGGGCCGGGTCGATTGGCCTCCAAGATCTATGTGGATAATTTCGCTTCGATTCAGACAGTGGAGCAAAACACCACTCGTATCCTTCACCAGTTACCAGTCGAAATGATCGAACAAGTCAACGAAAATTGTAGTCAACGGATGGGCCAACTGCCGTAGACCCGGCCAACATTTGAGAGAAATAATTTTCAAAAAATAAATGCCAAATAATATTCTTTTGAATAATAATAAATATGCGCCATTAAATTTGAAGATTTCAAAAAAAATTGCGAACCTCAAAATGGAAATATAAGAGCATTTTGGAAATCCTTAATGGTATAAATATTTCAACAGGTGTGGCGTTTTACTGCTAATGAACTAAAATGGTGAGAGTCAGAGACTATTTTACCATGTCGAATAATTCAAATATTTTCAGTAAATAATTCAGAGACTTCTTTTTTAGTGTTTTCTAATAATCATATGTATTGCCTCGTTAAGAAAATTTCCTCTTCTTTCACTGTGTTACAACTGTACGATTGTTAACTCAACTGTGCACTTTATTGTATTAATAAATTGTATTAATAACAAAGCCATCAATGCACACATACATATGTACAAATATGCATGTGTGAGTGCACGCTTAAGCATTTTTAAAACAGAAACTCCCATGTGTGTGCTTTTATTTGTTTACCTTTCTAAATTTGGTGCTGCCACTATCACTCCTACGCTCATTCGCCAACAAGCACATGCAGACCATACACATATACATATGTATGTATGTATGCCTTCAAATACGCTTTGAAGCAACCAACATGCGATCCGCTGTTGTCGTTTGCATTTATCTCGCTACAATAAGTCGCACTTATGTATTTGACAGCTTATGTCAAAGTAGACAATTTTCATGCTCTATGCATATTCGGCATTATGAAATCGCAAAGCGCGGGCGACCTGCAATCCTTTGCATACTCCAACACACCCAGTTGTTGGGGTAACTTTTCCTACATTTTTTCTCTTTTTGCGAATTTCGGTGGAGGAACAGCAAAAAAAATAAATAAAATAAATGAATTGTTGTTGCTAAGTGTTACCTTTCCTATTTACTATTTATTAATATGTTTGCTTGCCTCTTTTGTGGTTAAGCACATACACCTATACATATTTATATAAATATATATAGGCATTTCAATGTGCCATATCAATGTTCCTGCAGTTAATTATGCAATTTAATTAAATCAAAGCAAATTCAATTTCTGTTAATCTTATCCGCCACAATTTATTTACATGTGCTGATATTCGAAGGCGTGAATTCGGTTTCTATTTGTAATGGATATGCAATTTGTTTGTTTAGCTAAAGCGATTATATTCTATTCATTACATAACTCAGTAAATGGGAGGAGGCGCAATATGGGTGTTACTCTTATATACTGTCAAGATCAAAATTGAACCGGACTCGGTCGAAGAAATCTGTATCGTCAAAGAAATGGTTCCCAGTTGGTATTACCTTTTTCATGTTCGCTAAAGTTTATTTCCATATTTCAGGTAGTGTCTGTTTGGCCGGCAGTTGTTTACGACGCGAAATGTTTTTAAGCCATTTTTACCATACACAAAAACTTAGCAAAGAGTTTTCTTGAGATTTTGTCTTTCCAGTGGCTTCGGCATCATTGAAAATGTTGAAGAAGTGTTTTGATGAGTCTACTTTATTACAAATACAAGTATGTGAGTGGCACAAAGTGTTCAATGAAGGTCGCAAAGTCACCAAAAAAAACTTGCCTTATGCAAACAACCATCTTGCTTGTTTAAAAAAATTAGAAAAACAGTTTTTGAATATCTTCATGTTGGCATCAGAGTGATATCAGAAGATATAACCAATTATGGATCGGATCAACTCCTTCGGTTAACGTTTTGGATACTGAGCGTGTTAATACTAGATTCGTACCAATTGAAAAGAATTAAAAAAAAAGCAGAGTAAAGATCCCAAAAGAGCTGTTTCAGTTGTGGCTGAGCACCCCACATTCTTCAAACGCAGCATCACTAATGAAGTGACGTTGGTTTATGAATATGACGTCAAAACTATCCAAAAATCTAGCAAATCGTGCTCCCTAAGCCAAACCGTAAAAAAAGAGAACAAAAAACAAACTTCGTAGAAGATACGGAAAGCAATCCCAGCCGAGGCTTACAACAAGTGTATGGATTGGATTGGATATGACTGTATTGGTTCAGGAACCTCTTACGAAGGTGAGAAACCTTGATTTAATTTCTACAGCTATTTGTTTTATTATCTGTCAGTGAGCTTTCTATAATACGTGTACGATATGGATTTGAAGCTTAACTCGGTTCTGCAGGGAAACACAACGATATGGCCAATCTAAGACGACTTCTGTAAGGGAAAAGATCTATCATAAATGCCTGCTGCATTATATGCTATCAAAATCCATCATATTCTCAATCCGGATGAATGGATTTTTTTGTAATGGTTCTCCAACATTTCGATCAAGGTTCAATAGTATGACATTTCGGATCTTGGCTTTTTTACAACTTGATCTGCTCATTTTACCAAAATTTTTTTCTAGTCAGTCAATAATGTTAACTAACTCATTCAATTTCAAACATCACAACCCTCTTAACGCTCAACGAAATATCGTTGCCAACAGGTCTCATTTGACAACTACATATAATTGTTCCTTGGTGTCAAGGTGAATAAGAGTTTGTCGACTAGCGTCGGCAGCAAAAATCTCCGAATTTTCAGTATAGAGGATATTGTCTGTAAGTATTGTAAAAGGGCGTTCCAAAGTAAACAGGACCAGGGGCGCTATATTCAAGGTACCTTGTACATACTATAAGACTTCCAACGCCCTTGGTTCTCCCTCGAAGAGCTGCAACCAGTCACTGGCAAGCTCAAGCCCAAAAAATCAGTATAACAGATCCCAGCAGAAATCCTGAAAATAGTCTTGGCAGAGTTACCGGCAGTCCTATTGAATATATACAACGCCTATCTCGAGGCCAGAATATTCCCGTAACGGTAAAAGTAACGGCTGACGTAATCGGTGAAAGAAAAGAAGATCCAAATTTGACTCGAAGCGGCTATTAACGAAACTGCAGGACTCTCACAACACAGGGTTAGACCTAGCAGATCACCTCTAGGAGCTATAAAATGTGTCATTGAAAGTTTCGAAGCCGCACAGCGTAGATAGCATAATTATAAGCGAATAGTGTTGCTGGCGACTTAAGATGTCCAATGCTTTCTGTAGCGTTAGACGGAGGGGATATTATCGACGCTCTCGCAAAAAGTATTTAAAACTCATGGCAACGAAGATCGGCGAATGAGAGTCGCGCCAAATGGACGGCCAAACTAATAAAAGACCTGAACTTATGGAGAAGCCTTAAATTCGGAAATGTCGCTACTTATTAGTATAAATAGCTCACCTTACATCGGACTCATATCCAGAAGAGCGCATGCTAGATAAATGCTCTTTTAAATGATAAAGCACTAGTAGTTTTCAATTAAAAAAAAAAAAAAAAAAAAAAATTAAAAAAAAAAAAAAAAAAAAAAAAAAAAATTAAGCCCATAACATACAACCTGTACGAATATCACATTATACTTTCTTAAAATTGCTAAAATATCATCGAATGCTGTCATTTTTCAAGCTTTTAGGCCTTGAAAGTGTGCGGAAATGATTGTTTTCATTTAAATTAGAGTTTCGAATGAGCAATCGGCAGTAAAAGCTGATACTTAATTAACTGCACCAAAAAGACAGTTTTATAAAAAGGAAATGAAATGTGGTAGTTTTGAATGAGTTTGAGAGCTTGTCATTTATTTCGAAATACTTATTACTGTTGTTCAATAGAAAAATTAGTGTAATTACCTTATTTTTTCTTTTCTTGCTTTAAAAATTTTAATATTTTTGATTTTGATAATCTATCTGTACTCTTTTTACAGTACAGCCAGCCAATAATGACCGTGTATGCTGAGGGTTTATCAGCGATACCAAAAACTGTTATGGTCTTTGCGTGAAAATTATATATAGTTGAAGTCCGGACAGAAGCCTGAGAGTAGTAATCAATAAATTTGAGTCCTAGGTCACATTCAGTTTCACAACAGATATACATGGGTGTTTTTTTTTTTTTTTCAGTACAATCACAGTGAGCTCGAATTACGACATTTCACACATTATTGGACTTACTATCATATGACTAAATGGTACCAGAAAAGATTTTTACCTCAGTCTAAAGAAGACAAGTCAGGTGCTAACCGGCATTTACGGTATAAAATCAACCAAAAGTTCGAAAATGTTTACATTATGTAGCAGTACAGACTTAAAACAAAGCAGATTATTATATTTAATCTGTCCAATTATTATTATCTGTATTAAATGAGTAGAAAAAAGTTATACTTCGACTCCTCAAACTCATCAAAAACTCATGAAAGAATACGAAAAGATATTTAGCTTTTTGGAAAAACACTTGTTTCACGATAGAAAAGGTAAATTTCAAGAAAAATTCCTGGCATCACCTATTTTTAAATTCTTAGAACGGTGTTTCGGCTGCGATCGCCGAAAAATAGTTGCGGAGACCAGCAGCATACAGTTTTCTAACAAAAGTCAACGAAACTCATTTAAAGTTTCGAAACTTATTTGAAAAAATTCTGTTTCCTAACCAACACCTAACACTTTTTGGAATTTCCCCTTTATTTTTAGAAACTTTCCTCATAACTGCAATTGCATTCGTAAAACTTTGCATGGGATGTGTGCCTACGTATGCTTGGTATGTTTGTATATAAATATTAATATCGATGTAGTAAGTATTGAATAATGGCATTATGAAATTCGATGCGAACAGCCGACATACCTTTTCGTATCGTCCTTGTCGTCACTCTCGTCCTCCATTTTGAAATGCGTTAGATAATCCAATTTTCAATATGGCTGCCACCGAATGGCGTTGCGTCAATGACGAACGCAAAACACGAACGTGTTACACGCGAAAATTTTCCACTGACACCAATCAAAAAAGAAAAAAAAAAAAATCGAAACCAGATTTTTTCAGTACACTTTTCCCTGCTTCTCTGGCTTATAATATTTTAATAATGAAATTATTTTAAATATTTTACACCGTCGCACATAAATTACCACTGTGTAGCTATTTATTACTTTTCTTTTAATTTGTTTTGGCACTTTTTGATTTTGCAATTCTTTCAAAAACACTTTTGGAAAATATTTCCTTAAGGCATTTTCGCAAATATTTTTTTTTTTTTTTTGATAAACTGTAGTTGTGAGTGGTGATTTTGTTTAAGTGATATCCACTTTGAAGAAGAGTTCGAAATCGTTCATGGCATACATTTTCTTCGGACTGCACGCAGCTGCTTGACATACACGAATTTTACTAAGCTGTATTTATGCTTTGATGTTGTACAACATTTTCATGTACAAATTGATCTGAAAAAATTAATTATAAATGAGTTAAGAAGAAGTCTTTGAATATTTTCAGCATTTTTTTTTTTTTGTTGATTAATTTATTTATATATTTTTTGCACACTATTGTATTTTTTCTAAGCAAATTTAACTTTTATTCTGAAACAATTTTTTATAAATAATTTTCTAAAGAATAATAATTTCTTTTTTATTGTTTTTCTAAAAAATATTTATTTTTCCAGTTTTTCACACGATTCCAAATTCGTTTCGCGTTTACCGTTATTTGTCCGAATGCAACAAGTGCAAAGTTAAATCTGGCCTGTGGCGACTCAAAGGATTTGCCAAAACGTCGCTAACGCAGACATACGCATACACCTACAACCGTTATATATATACATACAAACACATTAATATATAACATTTACCAACACAATCCGTTTGCACAGTTTTGATCACTGCAGCCTTCGCTCAAACTCACTTGCCACACACACACATACATACATGCTTACATACAGTTATCCTTCATACTCTCAACACGCTTTGTGTTTGCCCGCCCGCAAGTATGCTACGTTTGTGCAAATTACGTAAAAGCCAACGGACCAATGCGCATGCTCAGCTTTGTCTTAGCGCCGACCCGCTAGGAATTCGCTAGCCGCGCTACACCAATGACTGCAGCAATGCAGTTTCAACCCTTAACACGCGTTGTGACTGTGTGTATGTTACAACAACAACAGCAGTCAGCCACGCAACACATGCAGACACACATTCGCACAAATGCATACATACAAACAAACATACGCGCATGCAATTGTACATAACAACAATTGTCAGCACTCAACACACTCTATTCAAAGCGTTGCTACTTGTACGCCGTATGAGGCAAGTGGCAGCCAGTTATCGGCGTCACAGCTGCGGCTCAACCAACTCCATTTACTCGCATATAAGCTTTGTTGTTGTAGCTACTTCCACTCAATCAATCTGTTATATTTTGCGCTCAATTAGCTCGTTTACCAAGCGATTAATATTATATCGAAGCAACAACAACAACAGTAATAGCAACCCTTCGTCAGTAAGTTGTGGGAATTGTGCGGCGGCTGGCAGCAGCTGATGCTGTGTGTGTCTGATTGTCCTTTGTGCACCTTTGTGTGCGTTTCTGGCGCCAAGGTTATTGCGTTGCTATATTTAGCATCAGTTGCATAATTTGCTCCAAGAATTCGTGTTACCAAATATCAGTCGACTATTGACAATATATTATTCATTTGTATATCTATTTATATATTCTAGTATAAGTATTGAATGAACATATACAGACCGAAATGTCTTATACACTTTGCATTTAGTATTTGGACAGTTTTGTTTGGGTTTGGGTCACCCGCCAGTCGAATATTGTAACACATGTTTCTAGCAATGTCCGATTCTTATTTCCAATTGATTTCTGATTTTCTGATTTTTAACGCTGTTTCTCTATGCAGACTTCTCGTCTTTGGCTTCAAGTTAGTTTATGATTAGACTGATAACTCTCTCAATAACTGTGGAACGTGTACGTGTTGGAATCAGTTGGAATCAGTTGGTTTCATGTTTATAGTTTATTTCCAAGGGTAAATACGAGAAATCTAAGGAGCTCTTCGCACTCAGATCTCATACTTTTAGACATCCAGGTGAAATACCGAAAATTGAAATAAAACACCTAAGCAGATTTTTGATAGATTCAGGGCGATTTAACTGCTAGCTAATATGCATGAGTTTTTCGTCTGACGACTGAACATAACAGTCTAATTGTGACCATTCGCCGTGCTCAGTGATCCGTCATCTAACCTAACCAAAGTTATTTTCTTTGGACCCTTGATAAGTAGTTGTTCGGCTATATATCTGGCATACTTAAAAAAGTAACGGTGTAACCTTAGCGCCTTAATGCATATATTGAGCATAATAAAAAACCGCAAAGAACTAATCGAAAGTCAATCTCTTAGGGATATGACGTTCAGCTCTACACAAATTACATTAAAATTCATAGCTGGAACACAAAATGATTCCACATAAATCCACTTAATTTAAAACGTTCCGAAATCGAAGGCAAAACACTGAAGAACATTTTCGATCCATTTATTCAGACACGTAAAAAATTGGCGGCAGAAGTGAAAGTTGGTAAAGAAATCCAAGAATTCTGAGTGAAAAATTGTGAACAATACTTGAAGACGCGCTTTTCTAGATATTAATTTGGATGGATTTCTACTGAGTTTGCTGCTTCCAGTAAAAGTATGTGCTTTGCAAACCAAATAAATGGAAAGTTCTATTGACTGCTTGTTAGCTACATTCAAAGGCCTTTTGGATAATGACAACGTCGTGCGACTATTGAAGCTCAAAGGTGGACTTGATCACTGGCAGTACCATTGGGGAAAGAAGCAAAAGTCAAAAGACAATAACTTACCGACTACTGCATTGGAAAAAGTTGAAAAATTGCAAAGTATATAATTCAGAGTTGTCTTAGCTTATGCCTATAACGAATGCGAACTCTAAACGTTCTTTTTCGACACTTCGCCGCATGAAAACGTGGCTGAGGACGAACATGCTATCTTGATTGAACAACCTGGCGTTGGTGCACACGCATAATTACATTGAAGTTTCTACGCAAAAAGCTCTCGAAAGATTCTCAAAACTTGGCCCACATCGTTTTGTTTTCTGAATTTTTTCTATTTAATACACGAACTGACTGTAGTATTACACATTGTAACGAATAATGTCACCCTCAAGTTTACGATTTATAATGCTTTTTTTTCTATTTAATAGGATTTTATATTAGAAAGGCGATTTGAAAATTTTCCACCATGATACGAGAGCAAATAATTTCTCAGAATTTCAGTAACATATTCTCCACACTGATCGATATTATGTGAAAAAATATATATAATCAAATATTCAAGCTATATTGAATTTATGCTAGTCTCACTAACATGACGATCTTGCAATATCAGTTTGCAAACAGCTTCAATAGTTTCCAAAACGATAACTGATTTTGAATGACCTTCACGAAACTTATTTTGAAGTGTGTTATGACCTAGACTGAATTCAGTACGCAATCGATAAATCTAGTAAAGCTTCATTGCCAAACATTTAATTAAGTTGCAAAAAAATATTGCAGTAAAATATTCGCGGTTTAGTTCTATTTTGCGGCCGAAATGAATATTTTTAATAACTGTAAACAACAGAAATACTCGCATGTCAAAACGTCCATGCCATGTCATGAGACGGCAAGGTGTAACACTGGGTTGCCAAATTGCGAAAAGTAAAAGGCAACCTATATATGAATAAGAGCGAGAAAGATAAGCCCACGAAGTTTGTAACACCCAGCAGAAAAAGTCGGAGACTCCATAAAACATGTTTCTTCTAAGTTTTATTCACAACATTGGAGAGGTATTCATTTACGTACACGAAGAAAAATATTTCATTCTTACAATAACTAGCCGGCCTAAAGTTATCATTCCTTATCAGCTTAAAAACGAAATATACATTTAATTTATTCGGCTTAAAAAAATTATTTGATGAGATATTTTCACAAAATTTTGTTGCTTGGGTACGCTTTCAGCCTTAATTCAACATACATTATGACAAAAAAGTACCCGAAAAGTGTAAATAAAACCAAATATATTTTATTAATAATCAATATATATAGTTGTAGATGAGAATTCGAATATTTTCAAAACTAGAAGGGAAGTAGTGACCGAGCGTCTGACACGCGATTTCTCGTTTTTTCATTTTTACGATTTTTCTTAATTGGCGGGCAGAATAGAAAAAAAAACTAAACGTCGTATGGAATTGGGCACAGTTTATTATCTTTACCATTAAATTATCTTCTATTTAAATTAAAAAAAAAAAAAAATTAAGAAAAGTCGAGTTTGAACATCTTCTTAAACAATATATAGTCAAATTTTTTTGGCCAAAAACCACATTTTTTTCAATTTATAAAAAAAATTAAAATTTTGCAATTTTGTTGGAATGTTTTTAGTTTACCTAAAAGATAAATTATTAAAAAATATGATTCTCTTTAAATTTTTTATTTCCGACATACATTGCGCCCTGCATCCTGCCCGCCGTCCGACAAATGCACATGCGAGATACATCGTGCCATTGCTTCCCACAGACAGAACGTCAAAGATTTCGTACCCAAAAAATTTGCGGATGATGTTTAAGCATATAACTATAAACCCCAGATATTTCGCTTTTATGAATTATTTCTTTCCTTCCCTACAAACTTCTCAAAAAAATCGAATTTTTATAGCTTCTAAGCAAGCTCCCCCCTTATGCAGCTGCTGTAAATGAACTTTCTGCAGATCGCGTTCATATTTGGCATAGTAATTCAGGATAGTCCTACTAAATTAGCAAAATACATTGTTTTTTTTTATATCGTTTACACGAGAAATTTAATTAAAATGTCCGAGTGCTTTTTTCGTCACAAAGTATAGGGACGATACGAACTGTAAATAGTAGCTTAGATGCATTTTTAGATGGGATTAGGATCAAATAAAGTGATAGGAATTATTTCATTGGGTCAGTTATATTAATTAAATGCTAATTCCTCATTTTTTTTTTTTTTTTTTTTTGAGTGAGGAAAGACCATTGGTTATAACGAAGTTTTTAACAAAGTAAATAATTAAATTCAAAACAATAAAGTATGCAAGTGGCAACTCTGAGAAATCGGCAACCAACTCAACACTCAGCCTCTCAGTGAAAGTAATGCCAATTTTGTCATTATTATTTGTATTAAGTGCAACAAGTGGTGTTCTGACATTTGCACCATCATTATATACATATTGGCCATTAAATTATAAAGAATGATGAAGCATTTGAAGTTGCTAAAGGGAAAATTTTAAATATATTG